CTGAGAGGCGCCATATGATGATGGATCGGGGGAAGCGGGGCGTAGATTGGGCGCTCTGGGCAGGGCAGCGATTGGCAGGAGGACTCCTAGGGGCGGGTCCATTCAAAGGAAAGAGGAAGAGCAGCCAGGAACAGACCTCGCAGGGAAGTCCCGCCTCCACTTCCGGGAACGAATAGAACTGAAGCGCCCTAATTGATTCCTCCACGGGCGGGCTAGACCCAGGTAGGGCGCAAGGGATGCTGGGAGTCGCAGTCCGAGAGGCTCTCTGGCGGAGGGAGGGGGGAGGCGAGGCCTAGTCTGGCGGGACGGGCGCTGGGAGGGAGGCCTGCCCGGAAAGTCTCACTGAGAGACGGAGGCTTCGGCTTTCCTACCCAGATGGGTGGGCGGGCCTGGGACTCCCCTCCGGGGAAGGGACGAAGCCGTGACCGCCTCTCCTCCTCCCCCTTCGCCCCTGCAGGAGGACGGGCGAGCCCGGCGGAGGAAGGAAGGAAGGAAGGAAGCGCCGCCCGAGAGGAGAGGAGGCCCCGCGGAGCAGCCCCGGGAGGAGATGAGCCGAAGGGGACTCCGGGAAAGGAGGCCGCCTGGAGGGAGAAGCGGGGAGCAGGAAACGGGCGGAGACCCCGAGACGGGCCTGGAGGGCGGAGGGTCCTTCGGGACAGGCAGAAGACCCGGAAATCCCCAGAGAATCCAGGAGGGAGGAGAGAAATATCAGTGCCCGGAATGTGGAAAATCCTTCAAAACAAATACAGTTCTTGTAAACCATCTAAGAATCCACACAGGAGAGAAACCATTTAAATGCCTGGAATGTGGAAAGAGCTTCAATCACAGGAGCAACCTTTATACACATCAAAGGATCCACACAGGAGAGAAACCATTTAAATGCCTGGAATGTGGAAAGAGCTTGAGTGAGAGGGGAAACCTTTATACACATCAAAGGAGCCACTCAGGAGAGAAACCGCATAAATGCCTGGAGTGTGGAAAGAGCTTCAATCGGAGGGAACACCTTTATAGACATCAAAGGATCCACTCAGGAGAGAAACCATTTAAATGTCTGGAGTGTGGAAAGAGCTTCAGTGAGAGGGGAAGCCTTTATAAACATCAAAGGATTCACACAGGAGAGAAACCATTTAAATGCCTGGATTGTGGAAAGTGCTTCAATCGGAGGGGATACCTTTATACACATCAAAAGATCCACTCAGGGGAGAAACCGCATAAATGTCTGGAGTGTGGAAAGAGCTTCAGTGAGAGGGGAAGCCTTTATAGACATCAAAGGATCCACTCAGGGGAGAAACCGCATAAATGTCTGGAGTGTGGAAAGAGCTTCAGTCGGAGGGGACACCTTTATAGACATCAAAGAATCCACTCAGGAGAAAAACTGCATAAATTTCTGGAGTGTGGAAAGAGCTTCAGTGAAATGGGAAGCCTTTATAAACATCAAAGAATCCACTTAGGAGAAAAACTGCATAAATGTCTGGAGTGTGGAAAGAGCTTCAGTGTGAGGAGAAACCTTTATAGACATCAAAGAATCCACATAAGCAGAGAAACGTTATAAATGCCAATTTAGCATGGAACCATTGTAGTTTCCTTTTTAAAAAAATAACGGCTGCTAGACAGCTCAAGCATCTTCAGCTAGCAAAAGCAAAAACCGGAGCTGGCTCCGCACTTGTTTGGCCATTTGGCCAGGGACAAAAAAAACCCCCAAACTCTGCCAGCTTCTCGTAGCCCCGAACAACCAAGGAAAGTCGGAGAGATAAAAATGGCCGCCACTGCAGTAGACACTGAAACCAAGTCACATGCCTAGACAGACCTTTTTGATTGCAATTCTGAATTTCTAATGTAAGTACCCTTCCTGAATTAATTTAATTAATTTGTTTTTGTGAAAACTGGCTAAATGAACTCTCGTACCTGGGGGACTACCTGTAAATGCCTCCATTGTGGAAAGAGCTTTACTGAAAGTCAAGGTCTCTGTAAACATCAAAGCATTCACAGAGGAGAAAAAGGATATAAATGTCTGAGTGTGGAAGGAGCTGTAGTCGGAGGGGAAACCTTTACAGACATCAAAGTCTCCATTCAGGAGAGAAACCATATAAATGCCTGGAGCGTGGAAAGGGTTTCTGTGGGAAGAGAAGTCTTTGTCCGCATCAATCCACTCGGGAGAAAAACAAT